ATTTTAATTTTATAACTAACCACCAGAGGGCGCTCTCCATATAAAGTGATTTATAAACGATAAAATACATTTATTTTAATTTTTATAAACTAACCACCAGAGGGCGCCCTCTCCATATAAAGTGATTTATAAACGATAAAATGCATTTATTTTATTTTTATAACTAACCACCAGAGGGCGCTCTCATATAAAGTGATTTATAAACGATAAAATGCATTTATTTTAATTTTATAACTAACCACCAGAGGGCGCCTCTCCATATAAAGTGATTTTATAAACGATAAAATCATTTATTTTAATTTTTATAACTAACCACCAGAGGGCGCCCTCTCCATATAAAGTGATTTAAACGATAAAATACATTTATTTTCAACCTATAACTTTTAATTAGAGTCTTAAATCATTGTTTGGTAAATTATTTATATCAAAGCTGCATTTTTACCTTAAACCTTTTCTTCTTAGGTTTAAATTTTACTTTTCAAACTTACTTTTTAATCAATTTAATTAGTTTATTGTCATTTGGTTTTCTTAATGAAAATACCACAAACTTTTTATTGATTTAATTGAAATGATCAATTTATTAAAACTGCTTTTTTGATTATGATTAAAATATTTGATGTGAATACATCTTACAGCTCATTGAGCTAATTTAGATTAAACATGAATTAAAAGAACATTATCAAAATACACATTACATTACAACATATCCCACCAGGATAAGCTCAGCACCTTTTTACCCATACTGTACATTTTATTGTATTATTGAACTGTTTATAAACATTTATTTGTATTTAAATTAAAAGTTTTAAATGTGTGCCTTTTGTTGTGCCAGACTTCAGAAGTCTTTTATTTATTTGTATTTATTATTCAGAGTTTCTATAAGTTGATGAGGATCCGGCGCCCTCTCGTGGTGAGAAGATGAACTGCATGATGTCTTTTTATGGAAACAAAAACTTCAATATCATGAGACTTTATTCATTTAATGATCATTAACAACACTAATACAAACAGATAGAGAGAGCTGTGATCATCACTGCCCCCTGTGGTCACTGTCAGTAACTACAACACTGAAAATAATTCTTACAATGACATTTTTTCCCCGCATTATATTCGGATTATTAAACCTCTAAGTACTAGTCACCACGGAAATAACCTAATGTTTACTGCCCTCCTGTGGTCAGAGGGAGTAACTGCAGCACTTTTCATACTATCTGTTTTATCTGATATTATTTAGTCAGAAAATTTTTTAATCTTATTTCAGAGTTATCAAAGCTAATTAAAGGCAAAACAAACTTTTTTATTGATATGTCCGTCTTGTTCTTCTTCTCGTCTTCGTGTAGGTCGTGTCTGCAGCTCCTCTGAGGACACAAACACGTATCAATAAAGGAGACAGACATATGAGTTTAAAAACCTCATCAGACTGAAGATTCTTGTGTTTGTAGAAAAAACTGAACTCTTTAGTGCCAGTGGAGGGCACTGATTCTTTCTCTGTATTCAGTTTGTTCAAATTTCCCTGATGAACATTGTTGTTCAAATAATGTGAAATAAATCCCTGAAAGTATTATTATTATTTCTATAATGGTGCCTGGTGTTTTTACTGAGGATCATCCTGACCCGTCTCTGGTGTTTTATTTCTGCTCTTCTTTGTAACTAGATGTCGTTGTAAACAAAGGAAACCTCAATGAGGCTGAAATAAAGGTCTGAAATGAAACAAAGTCAACTTTATTGTCAATTTCAAAATGTGTGGAATCGAAATTGCGTTTGTCTCCGTCCCACGGTGCAATACAACCAAAATAAGGTAAAATAAAATAGGTAATAGATAGAATAATAATAGATAGATAAATAATATTTACAGTAATAAATTCTAAATAGTGCAAAAAGGTACAAAACATGGAAAATAAAATAAAATTTAAAGAAAAAGTAAACTTGAAGTGTGCAGTAAACTCAGTGTATTTTGATTATTTATTTAAAAAATGTGTGTATTAGTATAAACAGTGTTATAGAGCGCTGCCGTAAGCCCTTCTGACCACCAGAGGGCGCCGATATCTCACATCAACACAAGCCTTAATGTTGATTGGTAGGCTAAATAAGAGGCAGATATTCCATCTTCAATCGGGCTGGCTGTAATGTAACTTCTGCTCTTTACAACCACAGACTGTAAATATTACAATATAGCTCACCTGGAGGTTAAAGGTCAGGTCTAATTAACCGCTGCATCATGCATTCATATTACACTGCTGCCCTCTGCTGGCACTGGGTTGCAATTACATCCAACAGTCACTATAACAGAAATGTATCCTCTTTTTAACCTTTTTTTCCAACACATAAAAGTGTGGAAAAATATAAATAGTGCAGTTACCTACCAACATTGTTTGAATTCAGATTATTTAAATTATTTTTAACCATCTTTTATACTTATCTAAGAAAGGTTAAAACAAACTAAATGAAAAGACTTAATAATTTGTAAAATTGTTGGAAATTAAAGTGACTACACCTATAACTACCACAAGATTGAACATGTCAGTAAAATATTAGTGTTTCCTTTGGTATAATAGCAGGAGTGTTTGGATAATTTCACTAGTAGACAAATCATTTCAACAACAGTATCTATCCACATTTGTAGATTATGAATCTAAAACTGAATTTTTATTTATTTTCGGTGTTTTACTTAATTTTGTTATTGTTATTGTGTCTCCTAATTCACAATGAGTTCTCTACGTCGATACGAGCTTTACCTGAGAGTGACAAGCCGACGTCACTTCCGCTGCTGCGCATCACGCTCAGGTGTGCTCCTCAGGTGCGCCAAAGTTTAATATCGACCCTGGACCACTCGAGCGGATGACGGGTGTCCGAGTTTGGATGAAAATGCTGCGAAAAGAAGCATTGGTTGAACTCAGAATGCAGGGTTTTCTTCTTGTTTCTTTGTACAGGTGTGTGCAGGTGTTTCCTCGCTCTGTGCTGCAGCTCAGAGGTAAAATGATTTTCTAAACATTACTGCTCACAGAGCTCAGAGATTAAATGTTCATCTTACTCAAGTAATATGAATAGACTTCATTTATTTAATTTAAAAGTAAAAGCTCTTCATCCAGCCTTCTGTGTTTAATTTACTCAAAGAAACAGCAGTCTAATTCATTTATTATTGAAGTGCAGTAACCAACAACTAACCACCAGAGGGCGCCCTCTCCATATAAAGTGATTTATAGACGATATAATGCATTTATTTTCAACCTATAACTTTTAATTAGAGTCTTACATCATTGTTTGATAAATTATTTATGTTAAAGCTGCATTTTTACCTTAAACCTTTTCTTCTTAGGTTTATTTTTACTTTTCAAACTTACTTTTTAATCAATTTAATTCGTTTATTGTCGTTTGGTTTTGGTTGTTCTTGTGACAGTTCATTTTGTAAGTCAATAAAGTAATTGGATATTTAAGATTACATCATTGTATGGTAAATGATTTATATTAAAGCTGCATTTTTACCTTTTAGTTAATTAAATTAGTTTTTAGTTTTTCTTAATGAAAATACCACAAACCTTTTTCTTGATTTAATTGAAATGATCAATTTGATTAAATCTGCTTATTTGTACAAACAGCTGTATGACAAGAATAGACTAAAGTCAAAGACAAGACACAACATTAGAAGCACAGTTTGGAGACAACCTGCTTAAAGATTCAAATTAAATACAAATACTTTAATTTTTTCAATTCTTTTTATTATTATTACTTTTTGTCCTTTTCTTGTAATAATTCACAGGATGATGAGATCAACCAACACAGTCAGTGTGTGTGTGTGTGTGTGTGTGTGTGTGTGTGTGTGTGTGTGTGTGTGTGTCTCTGAGCTGAACGGTCTGCAGAGAAAGAGAGCTACCGAGGTCCTCAACCTGCTGCTACGAGACCTCAGTGACATCGGCGCCATCATCGGCACCAGTGATGTCAACACAGCTGTGAGAACGGACACACACACACACACACACACACACACACACACATCTTTCACAGTCTCAACATCTGTAACCTCCCCCTCATCCTCAGTCCTCAGAGTCAAAGGGGAACGGCTCAGCGGTGGAGGAGGAGTTCACATCAGCAAGTTCAAGTCTGAGGTCAAGTCTCTGGTGAACCGCAGCAAACAGCTGGAGAGCACGCAGGCCGACGCCCACACAAACATTCAGGCCAATGACAAGGAGACATGATGGAGACGAGGACATCAAGGTGAGGACACAAACACACTTTGTATTGTCTGTACTATATTATATTCTACGTTTAAACTTTGAATTTAAGTTTGCTTCATCCAAAACCCTTAAAGTGAAGTTAAACACAGATCATTTACAATGAATGATAAAACCCAGGTTTATTCCAATCATCACAATGTTGTATAATCACAAACATTTTCTGAGTTTTATTAACTTGATGAACTAAAATTAGTTTTTCTTCTCCAACAGGAACTCTGTTGATGTCTTCCAGGAGGATCCCCCGTCGGTGGCCGTCTTCCTGCTCAGGTAGGAGACTCAAAGCTTTCTTAATGTTGTTTTATTATGTTCCAGGTTTTAGGTCTTATAGATGTTTAGACTCAGTTATTTGAATCAGCTACGAAGAAGTCGATTTAGAGTGGAGGAACATCAACCTGGAACATAAAACAACATTAAGAAAGCTTTTGAGCTCCTACCCAATGAAGCTGGAGGATAGTGGGGGGGGGGACTGGCTGGATGTAACCCCCTCACCTGTGACACCTTATTGTATTGTGCTGATGTAACATGTACAAAACACAGAGGTCATCATGTCTGCTCAATATTTTATTGTAATAAAACTACTGCTGTGTCCATTTTGGAACATTTTTTTAGAGCGCTACTCAAACGTTTAGCTGCGTTGCTCGATCCTTACAAGTTATACCTCGTTGTAAAGGTGACTCATCAGGCTTTCCAACGATATAAAATACAACACCAATTAGTTTTATTAAAGGGGCCAAATAATTGAAAAAATAATGTTTCCAAACTTTTTGAGGAGTTTATTTCCAACAGTTATCAAAGCCACAGAAATCCTTCAGAATCAGCTTTATTGTCCAGGTATGCTTAAACACAAGTTTACTTTTGTAAACTGTGCTGTCTTTGTACAAATGTATAATATTAAATATCAACAATAAACAAATATGTACAAGGATAAATAGGATAATACTGTAAACATGAGGTAGTTTTTACATTAAAAAGTGTTTGTATATGATCATTTAAATATATGTATATTCTCCTAAGAGAATTGTAACATCATAACATCCTTCATTTTAGAGTTGTTACAGGACGTGACAAAGGAAGGGTATCACACATGAAACAAGGTTTAAAAGGAAGTGAATTTATTATCAAATAATGATAATTATGTAAATCAGTCATGAATACAATGTATGGATGAGTGTAGTGTTGGAAAGTGTGAACAAAAGTAAAGCAGTTGGTGGAGGCCTGGGAGAAAGAGAGGGGAGACAAGTTAGACTGGAAGCCACTTAGAAGCAGAGTCCTGATGGACTCAGGTGTACCCAGTTGGACTAATGGCCTTCCTGACTCCGCCTACTTTCTGCCAAGTCAGGAAGCCAAACAAATGCAGGACGTCACCCCCCAATAAATCATTTATTTAACAAATATTTTAAAAAAAATCTTAGACTTGAACAAAACAACACACAGATCCAGCAGGAGAAACAAAGTCTGCATCTGTCTCTGTGGCTCAGGAGATAGAAGGAGGACTTGGAGTCTGGAGGTTGTGGGTTTGAATCTTATCAGGACTCAGTGAATTTTAAAGGTGTCGGTCCTAAAAGACACACACACACACACACACACACACACACACACACACACACACACACACACACACACACACACACCATTCTCTTAAAGGTGTTGGTCCAAAGGAAAGACTGAAGAGATCTGAGAAACATAATCAAGTATCTGTCTGTGTGGCTCAGGAGATAGAAGGAGGACTTGGACTCTGGAGGTTGTGGGTTCAAATCTTATCAGGACTCAGTGGATTTTAAAGTCCAACATCTGAAATGATGAAGATAAATACGCCCAGAGCTCATGTCATAGTGTGAAGGGATCAGTAGTGTAGTGGATAAGATTGTGGTTTCTAAGCTCTGTAGGTGGGGAGCCTGGGTTTGAATCCCACTGTGTCTGGTGATGGAGGGTTTGAATCTTATCAGGCAAATTTTAAAGTCAAAATCCAAAATGACGATGATAAATACGCCCGGAACACATCTCCAAGTGTGAAGGGGCCGGTGGCCGAGTGGGATCGTCCTTGCTTCTGCAACGGGTACGTGCTGGTTCAATTCCGGCTTCCACGGCATCGGGGCCTGGAACCGCTAGGGGGGCAAAGTTCCCCCTGGTGTTTCCTGAGTAACATCAGTAGGGGGTTATGAAAAAAGAAATGAAGTGTGGCTGAAGTTTTTTTCAGACACTTTTTTGAAGAATGTTGATGAAAGTTAGTTGAGAGTGTTGGGTTGCTTACTGTAAGTGCCTTTCTTATAACCATACTGTAACTAGCTTACTCATAACCATTCTAATGACTTCATTAATTAAACTAGAGACACTGTATACATGATGTGATAACAGCAAGAAAGAATTGATGTGGACATTTCACAAATTAGGTTGAGGGTTCTTTAATCAGCAGCATTGGGAACCACTGGGGGGGGGCAAAGTTCCCCCTGGTGTTTGGAGAGTAACACAAGTAGGGGTTTATGGAGAAAATGAAGTGTGTGTGAAGTTTTTTAACATGTCAGAGCCTTTTATTTAAAAGTGTTGTATGAAAGTTAAGAATAGAATAGAATGACTTTATTGATCCCAAACTGTGAAATTGTGGCATTACAGCAGCAGGTTATCTAACACACAATATGAGTAAAAAACACAATGTTAGCAAATCTAAACAGAATATAATATTAAATACAAAGTAAATAAGTAGTAAAAATATCAAAACTAAGAATGAGAATATATACAACCAGGATTTAACTTAGCATTACTAGTCTTAAATAGAAAGATTAAATGTAAATGTACAAAAACAGAATAGTAAATGGACAATGTTCAATATGTAAAATAAAGTAAATAGTAATAAAGTAAAATATGGAGCATCAGTGAAGTGAGTGGAGACAGTTTTTATATGATATGTTAAGACCAAGAAGACAACTCTCCTCTCTGTAGGTCATTGAGGGAACAGGAAGTTATAAAGGAAACAGGAAGTTGAGGGTTGTTTCTTTAATCTTCAAGGCTGCCCACAGCAGGCAGCAATGTAAGTTCCTTTACTGAAGTTAAGGTTTAGCATTAGCATGTAGCTTAGCATTGTTATAATTTGTTATGTATTGCATCTGATGTGGCTTAGCATGTATGTTAGCATTAGCATGTAGGTTAGCATTAGCAAGAACTTGTATTAGTTTATTGTTGTGTCTTGTAGTTTTCAGTCCTTATTCAATGTGGTGAATATGTGGCAGACCATCTCTTTGCTCCCTTCAGGTGCAGCTCCTGCAATTGAAAGACAATGTTTAGATTTAGTTTGGACCAACAAAGACAATCGTCATAGCAAAGCATGCACAGGTGAGTATGTAGAAATGAGGTGCACAGGTGTGGGATCATCTATCTGTAGAGAGAGAGAGAATGTTAAAAATGTTTGATTTGCATTTAAATTGGGGAATTCATTAAAAATAAAAACTGTTAAAAAATAAAATATTTTATAATATTTAAAAATATATTATAAATGATTAATATTATAAATATTTATTAATTTAATAATAAATAAAATAAGAAGTTTGTTCAAGCTGTTTCAATTGTCTTCTTTCTGTTTAAAGCCTTGTGTTAAGAAATAAAAACATGTGTTACCACTGTGTGTGTGTATATATATATATATATATGTGTGTGTGTGTGTGTTATTAAACTCTGCTAATCCAACATCACCAAACAGACAAAGTTACTGTGACACTCAAGATGCAGAGGATTAAAATACCTCATTCAGTACAGCTGCAGATAGACGACAGATACGGTAGCTACATGCTAATGCTAAGCTACATGTTAATGCTAAACCACATGGTGTGCTACATCAGATGCAATGCATAACAAGGCTAATGCTAAGCTACATGCTAATGCTAAGCCACATGTTAATGCTAAACCACATGGTGTGCTACATCAGATGCAATGCATAACAAGGCTAATGCTAAGCTACATGCTAATGCTAAGCCACATGTTAATGCTAAACCACATGGTATGCTACATCAGATGCAATAAATAACAAGGCTAATGCTAAGCTACATGCTGATGCTAAACCTTAACTTCAGTAAAGGAACTTACATTGCTGTTGCTGCCTGCTGTGGGCAGCCTTGAAGATTAAAGAAAGAACCCTGCACTTCCTGTTTCCTTTATAACTTCCTGTTGCTAAGTCCAGAGCACTTCCTGTTGCACTCCAGAGCACTTCCTGTTGCACTCCAGAGCACTTCCTGTTGATAAATCCAGAGCTACAGATATAAGAAAACCGACGAGAGAAACAGACAGGTGATCATTCAAAGAAATGCTTTGATTACGTGTGGTTGTGTTGAATGGATGTTTGTAGGAACCTCAGCATCGTTAACAAAAACAGGCGGAGAAATACAGTTATTTTAAAAAATAAGGGCCAATCAGAAGTCTTGGAACACCCTCATGTGCTCCCTGAGACTCCTTAAATCTCGGGACTAGAAGGAAAAAACAAGAAATAACTTAACTCCATTTCTAGTTTGATTTAGTTACGACCACAACCTTCCCGGTGTTACGGTCCAAGTGAGTAAAACGTCCCCTGCACACAAAGATATTTGTGGTCTTGGTCTTAGTGTGGTCATGACTACAACACTACGTGCAGCACCCTCTGCATGCAGAGTTCAGACTTCTGCAGACTGTTGGGTTTTTAAATGACATGACACTTGGATCCGGGGACCTTGTTGTTGTTATGCTGTTATGTTGGTTATGTATTTTATGTGCCATTGCACGTTAGTTTGGAATACCCCAGGGTTTGGTTTTCCCTCTGATCATTCAGCAGTCTGGACAGAAAATGTAGTGTGATGTGTTAGCTGGTAACAGGCCCTGGTTGAAACAAGAAGGAGCTCGTCCATCATCCTCTGCTTGTCTTGGATCTCTGAGGCGGCTGAGCTGCTTGTGGTGGTTCTCCAGCTGCTCCTCCAGAGTTTTGTGGAGATGTATAAACAGATTAGAGACAATACAAAGTGTGTTTGTGTCCTCACCTTGATGTCCTCGTCTCCATCATGTCTCTCTCTCTCCTCCACCTCTTGGCTCTTCTGGTCGTAGTTGACGGCGAGCTCCTCCAGCGCCTGCAGCACCTCCTTCACCTCCTTCACCTCCTCCTTCAGCTGGTTCTCCGTTTGCAGCCGGCACAGCTCCTCTTGGGAGGGACGTGGGGTCAGAGTGAGTTCATGCAAAAATGATCATCCTTATGAAATCCATGTTTAAATAAGAAAATGACATTAAGTAATAATAATTGAGAAAATGAAAGTATTTTAAGCAGGTTGTCTCCAAACTGTGCTTCTAATGTTGTGTATTGTCTTTAGTCTATTCTTGTCATCCAGCTGTTTGTACAGGTTGCTGATGTCCTCCTCGTATTTGCTCCGCTCGTTGCAACAATATATTATTTCTTTCACAAAGGTAAGAAGTATTTTCAGTTGAAAAAAACAGTTAATTTAAAATGAGTAATGTATCATAATGGCTCATTGACTTTTCACGTATTGTTCAATCCTAGCTGTAAATTAGATGCACACGTTTGAGTGCTCCTAAAGTAAAAGTCTGTGATAGTCCTTTTTAACTTGTAAATGTTTCCTTTTAATTTATGTTTAATCTAAACTAGCTCAATGAGCTGTAAGAAAAAAATAATTAAATTCAAATAAATTCAAACAAATTAATCATTTCAATTAAATCAATAAAAAGGTTTGTGGTATTTTCATTAAGAAAACCAAACGACAATAAACGAATTAAATTGATTAAAAAGTACGTTTGAAAAGTAAAATTAAACCTAAGAAGAAAAGGTTTAAGGTAAAAATGCAGCTTTAATATAAATAATTTATCAAACAATGATGCAAGACTCTAATTAAAGTTATAGGTTGAAAATAAATAAATAAATCACTTTATATGGAGAGGGCGCCCTCTGGTGGTCAGTTGTTGGTTACTGCACTTAAATAATAAATGAATCAGACTGCTGTTTCTTTGAGTAAATTAAACACAGAAGGCTGGATGAAGAACTTGTTGTCTTAGTTTACCTGTTGTTTTATTTACCTTTTAGCTGTTGTTTTATTTCCCTTTTAGCTGTTGTTTAGTTTTATTTCCCTTTTAGCTGTTGTTTAGTTTTGTTTACCTTTTAGCTGCTGTCTTGTAGCTTTTCTGTGCAGTTTTCTTTCAGTCGTAGTTTGTCTTAGTTTGTTGTTTTAATCTTTCAGTCTGTAGTTTTGTTTAGTTATAGATTTAGTTTAACGTTGTATTGTCCGTTTTCTTTGATTTGTGTGTTGGATGAAACTTACTTAACTTACTTAATATAATGTACTTCATATAATTTAAAAGGACATACTAACCTAAATTCATTAATCGTCCATTGTTACATCCATTGTATATGGTCAATCATATATTAGGATAATATGGTTCAAAGTTAAATATGGATCATCAGTGACGTCACTAGAGACACTGTTTACATGATATGTGAACACCAAGAAAGAAACTATCTGTCTGCCTCTCCTCTCTCTGTATCTAGGTCATTGCTGAGTTACTGGATGCCTGCAGGTTAGCGTCTGAAGTGTACCTGTAGGTCTGTCTTCATGAGCGAGGCTCCTGCTTCAACCAGATAATGACAGATAGTTCTTTGACACAGGGACGCAGCTCGGTCTCCCCCCTGGTCAACAGAAAAGAGAGAGAGAGACAACATCACCCGAGGAACAGACATCAACCCCCCTGCTGCTTCTTTTGGTGTCTTGTGTTTATGATGGCACATATATCATCACATATAGACTGAACAGAGATCAGAGCACAGATACAGGAACAGCATCATCATCTACACTCTGTTAACATTTAAATAAAGTGTTTAACATTTTAAAAACCTCATGGTTTCAGTTCAATGTTGGATGTTTTCAAGCACAAATAGAATCTGTACTTACTGCAGTTTTTCTGTAAGGACTAAAAACTACTTAAAGGCAGGGTTGGTGATCTTCTCCAGATCCACTTTTTAAGATTGTGGTTGAAATTGTCTTTTGGTCCTGACAATGCAAGCAATGAGCTGAGGTCCACTTCTGGGGTGTGTGCAGACGCAGCACTGAGGGAATGCTACTTTTAGAAAATGATCAACCCTGCCTTTAACCCAGACAAGACTCTCTCTTACCTGCTGTTTGTAAAGTGTCTTGAGATAACATTTGTATTGAGTTGGCGCTCTACAAAATAAAGATTGATTGAACTGACTTATTGTTTTACAAGCCTGTCATTGAAAGTTTCCCATTTATTCAAACACTAGAATACAGAAAGAAAGAAAAAAACATCATATTCCTATGTTGAAAAGAACCCACATACATTCATTAATCGTAAAAAACAACAACAATTAAGGATTCTTTTAATGAGCTACGCATGGTGCAATGGCACCCCCTGTTGGCCTGTCAGAGACTGCTACAGGAAGTGACTGATCAAGCCCTGCCTATAAAGGAAGCAGGAAGTGGAGGGTTCCTTCTTTAATCTTCAAAGCTGCACAGAGCAGGCAGCAACAGAAATGTAAGCTCCTTCACTTTACTGAAGTTAACAACTAAGCTTTCTTTGCGGCCTCCCTTCAGGTGCGGCCTCCCTTCAGGTGCGGCCTCCCTTCAGGTGGGGCTCCCTTCAGGTGGGGCTCCTGCAGCTGATGATTCAGTTCAAAGACACATGTGAGTATGTAGGAATGAGGTGCAAAGGTCTGTAGTGAGAGATGAAACTGTCACTCACCTTCTTGAAGTCTTTGTTCTTCACACACTCAACCAGCAGCTCTACACAGAGAGAGCGAGAGAGAGAATGTTAAAAACCACAGATAATTAAAGTTATTATCAGTGCTCTGTATGACGAGGTTGAAGGTCTTGGTCCTCAAAAGGATTTGATTGACTTCTCCTTTTGGGCGACAGATTTATCGGCTAACAATAAACATGTAAACTACTATAACTAATTAAAACACAGCTGGCAGATAACCAACGACATTAAGGACTAATGCAGTGCAGCTGAACCTGATCACAGATGTTCTCTCTCTCCCCCCCAGGTACTGAAGTCAATGTGACGCAGAATGGACACAGCAGTAGTTACTTTCCAAAAAAACAGGCCCAATGTGACATTATAACAAACTGAATGTTAACTTTCATAAATCAGTTCTTTTTTATTCACTTGTCTCCAAAAACAAACATTTTGAAGTTTAAACTAATTGTGATGTGTTTCTTTTTTTAACACTTTTAGGGGCAGCCTGACCAAAACAAGATGAAGTGCTGTTAGCATGTCTGCTACACCACGCTGCCTCACTTCCTTCAACATTTGGTGAGTATTTTTCTTGGCTCTTTTATTTTAACTGTTTGAGTCACATATAGTCATATTCTTTATATATCATATTCAAAATTGACATGATGCTACAAACTTTTAAATTTTAATCCTAACACTCTCTTTGATGTAGAGATTATTTTGACTTGCATTAATAATTTTTAATCACTTAATTATCAGAATGGCCCATTTCAGTTTTCATGTTTTGTACAATCCTAGCTGTAAATTACTCATAGATGCAACCTGACATGAACTTTAAACCCTGATGTCTTTGTTTCTTGTGTCTGATATTCCAGGTGTTTCCTCGCTCTGAACTCCGAAGGAGTTTCTTCGGATTAAAGTTTACCTGTTCCTGTTGGACCTTGTGTTTTTTTTGTCTTGTCAGCATCTTCAATTCCTAATAGATGTTTTGTAGTAGTTTCCTTTGTCACACAGTTGTGAACTTGAAGTGTTAGATTTGTTATCTTGTATAAAACAAATTTTCCATTAGGAAACATGTTTATTTGTACATAATTAAAGACTACTAGAAACAAGTTTCCTCAGGAATAATGAAAGTGGTAAACTACTATAAATAAAACACAGCTGGCAGATGAACTGAGCACAGATGTAACACAAGTCACTGATGCAGAATGGATACAGCAGTAGTTTTATTACAATATTGAACAGACATGACCTGTGTTTTTCTACATGTTACATCAGCACAAGAAGGTGTCACAGCATCCCCATTGGATAGGAGACTCAAAGGGTTCTTAATGTTTAATTATGTTCCAGGTTTAGGTCGTATAAAAGTTTAGACTCAATTATTTTAATCATTTGATCCTTTTTGGAGGAACATCAGGTGTTTAATGAAATAAGGATTATAAAAATGTAGTATTTCATTAAACACCTGATGTTCCTCCAATATAAAAAGGATCAAGTCAAATGATTAAAATAACTGAGTCTAAACATCTATAAGACCTAAAACCTGGAACATAATAAAACAACATTAAGAAAGCTTTGAGTCTCCTACCTGAGCAGGAAGACGGCCACCGACGGGGGATCCTCCTGGAAGACGTCAACAGAGTTCCTGTTGGAGAAGAAAAACTAATTTTAGTTCATCAAGTTAATAAAACTCAGAAAATGTTTGTGATTATACAACATTGTGATGATTGGAATAAACCTGGGTTTTATCATTCACTGTAAATGATCTGTGTTTAACTTCACTTTAAGGGTTTTGGATGAAGCAAACTTTAAATGTAGAATATAATAAAGAAACATTGAGTATAAGGTCTTAAGAAACATCTTTACCATACATTAACTGTCACAAGAACACAAACTCTAATTAAAGTTATAGGTTGAAAATAAATGCATTTTATAGTTTATAAATCACTTTATATGGAGAGGGCGCCCTCTGGTGGTTACTGCACTTAAATAATAAATGAATCAGACTGCTGTTTCTTTGAGTTTGAATTAAACACAGAAAGCTTTTACTTTTTAAATTAAATAAATGAAGTTTATTCATATTACTTGGGCAAGCTGAACATTTAATTTCTGAGCTCTGTGAACAGTAATGTTTAGAAAATCATTTTACCTCTGATTAATTAATTTACATATTAGTTTATTAACTTTGGCTTTACTTTAACCCGGTGTTGTGAAGTTAAACAATTAGTTGGAAAATAACTGAGGTGATTTCTTTGAATGCTTTTAAATCCAGGCTGAGAGCACTTGAGACGACCTCCTTAACTTGTAATTGTTTTTTATCATTTTAATTGATAACTGTTTTTTATAAGTTTAATTGGAGAAAACAAGTTGAAAAGACAAAGAAAACGTCGCGTTACCTTCATAATATTGATAAACGTTATCATCATCTTACTCTGACGTTTTATCCGCTTAACAAACATTTGTAATGACGTCAGCATGAGCATTAGCCCAGGTGTTAGCAGCCCCAGGTATTTCTATTTCGTGGCTTTTCACACAAAACTGGACTTTTAATTACTCACTGAGTATCTAGACTTCATGTTTCCTTCCCCGGCTCCTTCTTCTTCCAACATGCTGCCCGCGGTCCGCACCGCTTACCTGGTCGAAACAATGATATACACACCTGAGAACACCTGAACACACCTGGGCGTGATTACCGGAAGCTTCAACCGGAAGTGTCGCAGAAAGTTTCTATCGGAGAAATGAAAAAGTTATAAATAAGAGGACACAAAAACAAGACTAAGTCAAAAATCAAATGTTTTAATGATAAAAAATATTTCTTAATGTAATTTACTTGTTTTTCTGTTTTTTTTTAACTTTGAACTCTTGGTAACCAAGCAACATGAGAAAGTCAAACTCGGGTCACCATGGTAACTACCGGTAACTGCATTCGTTAGCAGGACGAAGCTAACCTGTTTTCCGGTCTTTAGGACACTGACTGAATTCTTACTCACAGATAAATTCACTGCTGAATGATGTTTACCTCCAGTTTCTCTCTTCCTCTCCCTGTCGTTCTCCAAAGTGTCCAAGAAGCAGATAAATTAGTTAGTTTGAGATACTAATGTGTAAAGATGGAGTTTAAAGGTGAAACTGCGCCCTCCTGTGGTCACTGTCAATTACTGCATTTGTTTTTTTCACCTTTCTTGTTCTAGATACAAATTCAAACTGCTTTCTTTGTTTTATTTCTTTATAAATAAATGTGACTTGACTGAATCACAGATAACATATTTTCTTAATTATAAAAAGCAACTGTTTACTGCTTATGTTAATTAAAATCCATTGTCTGTTAATCACACGTGCATGTTAGTCTCTCAAAGAATCTGAAGTGCAACTTCACTGATTGCATATTCTTGTGTACGTTGGAGCGTTTCACTCCTGAGGAAGAAAGCAGATTGTGTTCCCATGACATATTAGGCAATATATTTTTCTTATTTTCTTATTAGTGGTAGATAAATAAAGACTACAATAAACAAGTTTCCTCAAAATCAAAGAAAACAGACAATGAAAGCTGTAAACTACTATAACTAAATAAAACACAGCTGGCAGATAAGGGTTTTTGCTTTGAATCCACGTCTTTTTAAGCCTTTTCTGCCTCGTAATTATCGTGCAAAAATCTAAATTCTTTGACTTCCAAGTAGAGTGAATGTAATCACTGAAATGTGTCTAGAAGGTGACTGGTTACTGCACTGACCTGTATCTAACTTAAAAGTAGTGAGGGTCTTTACCACACCTCTAAGAGCAGATAAAATGATCATCAGAGTTCAACCACTGATGAAACAAAGACACTGAAAGAGAGTACAGAAAGAAGACTTGGATGAAATGAAGAAACTTCTCAGTTGACAGTTTTGGTCTCACTCCAAGTCTTCACTCAGAAAGAAGAAAATAATTGATTTGCTTTCTTCAGAAGAAAAAAAAAGAAAAGAGAGTGTTGCTTACAATCAGAGGACAGGTTATTTTGTCTTAGTCTGTCTTAGACAGACCCCTTTAAAAGACAGACTAAAGGGGTTTCACACTTGCAGAAAACTCCTTAAAAACTCCTGACATCTCAGAAAAGTGTCTTGACACTGAAGAAAGACGGCAGCACTCACCCGTCATTCCAAAGGGAAAGCAGGTGTCTTTTAATCACATCCAGGATTCCTTCGATCCACAACCAGAAGGAATACGCTTTCTCGTTCGCACTCTGCTCACAGACAAATACATTTAGTTCAAAGAGAAGATGTAGTTTTAACTTTATGATGCACCAAAAAGACTCCATTAGTATCTGCTAACCTGTACATGTTTCTCTTATTGCAGCTTTTGGTTAAATTACAGATTTGAATACAGATTTTATTCATTTTTAACTTGTGGTATCGAAAAGTATCACAGATGTTGACGATCTTAAATCTCAGGCTGAATGGGGCTCACCTTGCACAACTTGGTCCAGGGGATTTGTCCCTCTGGGTTCCTCTTGGCTTTGGCTCCTGAAGATAAAAATAAATAAAAGTTAAAGGCCTGTTTGAAAGTCCTGCAGGTGTTTATCTGTTAAAGAAAAGTATTTCTACCGAGCAGTTTGTCAGCCAGCATGTTGAGCTGTCCTGGTTCAGGCCTCGCTTGGTGACGGAGGAGAACTGCCAGCTGAGGACCTCGGACAGCTGAGACCACTTGGCCTGCGGAGGGCTGAGGAAGAACTTCAGATTCTGAGAGGAGAGGAAAGAAGAAGAGATGGAAACACAAAAAGTCAAACCATCTGGTTTAAAAGTACAGTTAAAGATACTCTGTTACGAATAGAAGACCTTTATTCAAAACTTTACTTCATATAAAAAGCACAGGCATCAAAATATACTGAAAATGCAAACCGTAAAACAGCTATACACGCGTCAACATTTAGATTGTATTAATGGTCTGTTTATGAATTTAAGGTGGCAGCTGTGAAACTTGTTTAAATCATTAAGATATCACCTAATTGTATCTTTGATATTTGTGATAAGTAAACATCTGTAATCATCAATGAGAGTCCTGGTTGTGTACCCTGGGCTCGGAGGTCAGCATGTTGTACCAGAGGATGGAGGCCCAGCCGCTGGGCAGCTGACAGACGTTAGAGATGACAACAACAGGCAGGGACATGGCCTACAACAACAAAAACAGCAACAAACATCAGGAAATAATCATACACATCTTACACGTGTAATAACCTGTACACCTCGGACTTCTGCTACAACTCTGGGAGCTGCCACTTGCAGAAGTTCTCCGATGACACAGCCATCGTGGGGTGTGTCTAAGGGGAGCGAACAGAGTACAGGCAGGTCATCATGGACTTTGTCAACTGGAGTGAGCTCAACCACCTTCAGCTCAACGCCAGCAAGACAAAGGAGATGGTGATTGACTTCCACAGGAAGTCACCCCAGACTGCACCGGTGAACATCCAGGGCTTGGACATCGAGAGGGTGGAGACGTACAAATACCTGGGTGTTCACCTCAACAACAAACTGGACTGGTCACACAACACACACATCCTGTACAAGAAGGGCCAAAGTTGACTTCACCTGCTGAGGCGACTGAGGTCCTTTGGAGTGTGCAGGACTCTGTTAAGAACTTTTTATGACACTGTGGTGGGCGTCTGCACTTTTCTATGCAGTGGTCTGCTGGGGAGGAGGGAGCACAGAGAGAGACAGGAAGAGACTGAACAGACTGGTGAGGAGGGCCAGTTCTGTCTTGGACTGTCCTCTGGACTCTGTAGAGGAGGTGGGTGAGAGGAGGATGTTAGTGAAGCTGACATCCATCATGGACAACCCCTCTCACCCTCTACATGACACTGTGGGGGCCCTGAGCAGCTCCTTCAGCAGCAGACTCAGACACCCACCCTGCAAGACAGAGCACTACCGCAAGTCGTTCATCCCATCTGCCGTCAGACTGTTTAATCAGACTCTTTAACAACATCACCACCTCATGCTACACACTGTGTGTGTTTTTAGTTAATAACAAGTTACTGTGTAATTTTACATTTACATTATTGTATTTTTTTACATTATTGTATTTTTTATTTTTATTTAAATGATGTAAATTTATTTGATCTGTTTTTTAACTTCTATTTTTTTTTTTATAAGTATATTCCTCGTCCCCTGTTTTCTGGAGCTGCTGTAATGCAAAATTTCCCCCACAGGGGATCAATGAAGTTTATTTTTATCTTTATCTTTAATTAAACAAACTCATAAACTCCATAGTTTGACTGTAGTTACTAATCATGTCCACTAGACGGCAGCCAAACTCTGCTGTTTCATTTAACATCCAATCTTTCCCCACTTCCGTTCCACAGCTTAGTAGCACTGCGTGTTTTAAAGTATATATTTCATAATAATTAAATGCTTTGTTGTTCTTCAAATGATCTACGTGATATTGAAGGTTTTAACTCTTTGTGGCTGTAATGTAACTTCTACACTTTACAACCACGGACTGTGAATATTTCAATATAGCTCACCTGGAGGTTAACAGCCTCGTCAGGTCTAATTAACCGCTGCATCATGCATTCATATTACACTGCTGCCCTCTGCTGGCGATGGGTTGTATTTACATCCAACAGTCACTATAACAGAAATGTATCCTCTTTTTAACCTTTTTTTCCAACACATAAATGTGTGGAAAAATATAAATAGTGCAGTTACTTCTGTATAGCAAAATTCTGTATTTTCTTCTTGTGTTTGTTTGTACAGGTGTGTGCAGGTGTTTCCTCGCTCTGTGCTGCAGCTCAGAGGTAAAATGATTTTCTAAACATTACTGTTCACAGAGCTCAGAGATTAAATGTTCATCTTGCTCAAGTAATACGAATAGACTTCATTTATTTAATCTAAAAGTAAAAGGTCTTAATCCAGCCTTCTGTGTTTAATTTACTCAAAGAAACAGCAGTCTGATTCATTTATTATTGAAGTGCAGTAACCAACAACTAACCACCAGAGGGCGCCCTCTCCATATAAAGTGATTTATAAACGATATAATGCATTTATTTTCAACTATACCTTTTAATTAGAGTCTTACATCATTGTTTGGTAAATTATTTATATCAAAGCTGCATTTTTACCTTAAACCTTTTCTTCTTAGGTTTAATTTTACTTTTCAAATTTACTTTTTAATCAATTTGATGAATTTATTGTCGTTTGGTTTTCTTAATGAAAATACCACAAACCTTTTTATTGATTTAATTGAAATGATCAATTTGATTAAAACTGCTTTTTTGATTATGATTAAAATATTTGATGTGAGTACATCTTACAGCTCATTGAGCTAATATTAGATTAAACATAAATTAAAAGGAAACATTTACAAGTTAAAATTTTCCTTGCCTTGATTTTATTAACTTTCATATGCTCATAACTCTTCTTCACCTACCTTATGTTCTCGATTATATTCAGTTCATTGATAATATCACAGATTAATTACAACTCTGAATATATATCATATTATGTATACAGCATTTTCTTTCCCAAAAGCTTGCACAAGTTAAAGGTAAACAAACTTGTAGAATTATTGTAAGACTTATAATATAAGATAAATCTGTTTAGATGTTTCTTAAGACCTTATACTCAATGTTTCTATATTATATTCTACATTTAAACTTTGAATTTAAATCTCATCCAAAACCCTTAAAGTGAAGTTAAACACAGATAATTTACAGTGAATGATAAAACCCAGGTTTATTCCAATCATCATGATGTTGTATTATCACAAACATTTTCTGTGTTTTATTTGGGTTAGATTTTGTTTTCTTCATGTTTCCAATAAATAGATATGTAAAAATGTACCTGAGGGCCACGTTTAGGGTTGATGGGGTCGCATTTGGCCCCCAGGCCACAAGTTGCCCACCCCTGGTTAGTATGTTGTTTTTTTTTAAATTGGAACATGTCGTGTTGTGAATTGGCACAATTCATGTCACATAAGCTGTAGCTGTCGCAGAACATTACATTTCTTTGAACAGGATTTGTTGTAATTACAGAGAAAATGTTTTATTTTGAAATGTGTTCAGATGCTGTGTTACTGACACCTACTGGTCTAATTGTCTAACTGCATGATGTCTTTTTATGGAAACAAAAACTTAAATATCATGAGACTTTAT